ACCTTCACATTCCTCCCTTCCCTGGGCTCCTGGAAACCACTTGTACTCACTGTTTCTATGAGTTCGACTATTTTATTTTATTTTAAAAATATGTTTTGCCCTAGCTGGTTTGGTCAGCGATTAGAGCCTTGGCCCGCGGACCCGAGAGTCCCAGGTTTGGTTCCTGCTAAGGGCATATACCTCTGTTGCAGTTTGTTCCTGGCCCCGGATGGGGTCATGTGGGTGGCAACCAGTAGATGTGTATCTCTCACATCGATGTTTCTCTCTCTCTCTCTCTCTCTCTCTCTCTCTCTCTCTCTCTCTCTCCATTCCACTCTATCTGAAGATAAAAACAAAAATGTCCTCAAGTGAGGATAAAAATTATATATATATAATATATATGTATATATTTTTATTGATTTTTTAGAGAGAAGAAGGGAGAGATAAGAACATCGATGTGAGAGAGAAACATCAATCGGCTGCCTCCTGCACACCTACTGTGGATGGAGCCCACAACCTGGGCACGTGCCCTGACTGGGAATCGAACCAGGACCTCTCAGTCCATGGGACAACGCGCGGTCCACTGAGCCACACAAGTCAGGCAAGTTCGACTCTTTTAGATTCCACATATAAATGAGATCAGCTGTATTTCTGATTGAATGGATCTTTACAGGCTACAGAGTCTCCTTCCTTCATACGTTATCTCATCTGTCCTTATAACAACTTGATAAATGAGGAATGATTATTCTCCAATTTTACCGATGAGAAACTGAAGATCAGACAAGTTAAGTGACTTGTCCAAGACCATCCAGAAAGTGGCCCAGGGAGGCATAAAACCTAAGTCTTCTCACCACAAGTTCAATGCTTTTTCCAGAGGAGGAAAGCCAAAATACAGTATAAGGCTTGCTGGTATTATCTGTGCATGTGATGGCTCAAGTTTCTAAAAATTTAAAGATCTCTGTTAAATATGTGCTAAAAGCTAGACTTGAAAGGGGAGCAAGGAAGGAAGTTTTTAGTTATACCACTGATTTGGGCAAAAGATGTGGGGAAAATGTGATGCTCTAAAATTTTCACTTGCCCTTGCCTGGCCATTGTGAGTCAGTGGTTGAGCATCAACCCAGGCACCAAGAGGTCGTCAGTTTGATTCCCGGTCAGGACACATGCCCAGGTTGTGGGCCAAATCCCTAGTATGGGGCATGCAGGAGGCGGCCAATCAATGTTCTCTTTCATGGATATTTCTATCTCTCTCTCCCTCTTCTTTCCTCTCTCTCTAAAATCAATAAAAATATTTAAAATCAATAAAGAAAAAAATGTTTTAATAAAAAATAAACTTTTCACCTGCCCCATAAAAGGGGAGGTAGAGTTAAATAAAGACAGCTAGACAAGATCAACTACAACAATACTATCATATTATTATCCTATTTTCATGATGTAATAATACCTATTATTAAGTAATAATACCTAATACTCAAGTAATACTTATGAAGACCCATTTAGTGCTTACCATATTCCAGGTACTGTTTAAGGGTGTGCAAACTCATTTAATCCCCACTGCAACTCCAAAAGACAAACACAATTACGATTCCCATTTTATAGGTATGGAATCTGAAATACAGAGAGGTTAAGTTGTTTAAGGTCACACAAGCAGTAAGTGACAGAGCCTGCTACAAACCCAGAGAGCTGTGCTTCCCAGGGCCACTTAACCATTTCCTGTACTGCCGTTTCTGGGGCCTGCAAAACTCCTTCCAAGAACAGCCAGGCCTCACTTTGACTTGGGCTAGAAATGCCCCTCTAAATTTCTCCCCAACACCTTTTACATCCCCCTTCAAAACGTTCTTCATGTATTCTGTCATCACTTGTTTAATTGTCTTTATCCATAGTCTCAGAGTTATGGAAGCAGAAGCTGTGACTCTCATTCATCATTGTAACCCAAGCACCTGGCTCAATGCCTGGACCATAGTCATTGCTCAACGCAGACTGGTTAAACTGATGAATAAATTAATCTAACCAGTACTTCTTTTTTTTTTTTTATCCTCACCCGAGGACATTTTTCCATTTTTTGTTCAGATAGAGCGGGAGGGAGAGAGAGAGAGAAACATCGACGTGAAGGGACACATCGAGTGGCTGCCACCCGCATGACCAACCAGGGCCGGGGACAAACTGCAACCGAGGCACGTGCCCTTAGCGGGAACCGAACTCGGGTCTCTCTGTACCGCAGGCTCCAACCGTTGAGCCAAACCGGCCAGGGCTAACCAGTACTTTAATGTTTACTATGTCAAATACTATTCAAAGAGCAAATATAAAACAACCCTAGGAGGTACATACTATTTTACAGGTAAAGAAACTGAGGCACACAGAAGTTGAGCATTTTGGAAAGGGTAACACAGTAGTAATAAGTAACAAAGTCAAGATTAAAACTCAGGCAGTCTGACTCGAGTCTATGTTCTTAACGTCTAAGCTCAGTGAATATATGAATGAAGAATGACATATCTACCTCTATACACTATATAGTCTGGGATTGCTGTTCCTTAGGCTTTTGTGGTCAGTTCGTTTTCCGAGTGGCTTCTTGATGGCTTCCTTTATGGCTTGGGCTTGTTATATTTCACAGGCCTCCTCGAGTGGAAAAATGATGAATATTACAATTGCAACTTGGCTGAGTGAAGTACCAGATATTTCTGTCTCAGTTACTCTGCTTTTTATTTAGTCTCCACAAATGTCTCAAAGAAAAAGGTGGAAATAGTTGTCTAAATCTTTGGAAAAGAACTAAAACACTAGATTTTCATAGCATTCGTAGATGTCATTAAAATGCCAAATGGGGGAGGGGGGCTAAAAAATTATTTTATTTCCAAACCTGCAGCATTATTTTGCTGAAACCCCCCAGATCCAAAGAAAATTATAAAAAATATTGAAAGAAAATTAAATAGATGTATTTAAAATATAAACAGAAACTTCTGCTATGATTGGTTCTACTAAAGCTTATGCCATGAAACTAGAACCCTGGTTTCTTCAAAATTATTTATACTTACTGGAATATTGAAAGAAAAAAATGCATAGTTTGGAAGTAAATGTGCCTGAACATACAAGTATTTTTTCTTTAAATTCTAAATCTCTTGTACTGTTATTTCAGATTTGGAATGAGAAAATCACACACAAATGTGTGCTCAATGATGAAGCAAGAGTTATCATGATCAGCCCTGGCCAGTTTGGGTCAATGGTTAGAGTATTGGCCCAAGGACCAAAGGGTCTTGGGTTCGATTTCTGGTCAAGGGCACGTGCCTGGGTAGTAGGTTCCATCCCCCGTCCTGGTCAGGGTGCATGCAGGAGGCAACCAACTGATGTGTCTCTCTCACACTGATATTTCTCTCTCTCCCCCTCCCTCCCTCCCTTCCACTCTCTCTAAAAATCAATGGAAAAATATCCTTGGGTGAGGATTAACAAAATATAAATAAATAAATTCCCATATTAAAAAAAAGAGTTATTATGATCAAGTTCATCTTTTCTCCCACTTTATTCTCCTTTTTTTTTAAATCCTCACCCGAGGACATTTTTCCATTTTTCGTTCAGATAGAGTGGGAGGGGGAGAGAGAGAGAAACATCGACGTGAAAGGGACACATCGAGTGGCTGCCATCCGCACAACCCAACCAGGGCCGGGGATAAACTGCAACTGAGGTACATGCCCTTAGCGGAAACCAAACCCAGGTCTCTCCGGACCGCAGGCCAATGCTCTAACCACCGAGCCAAATTGGCCAGGGCTCCCACTTTATTCTCTTCAGAGAATGCCACCTGTTTTCAGCACATGGCCCACCTCAGTGTGTAGACCCCCTGGAGCTACGCAGGGGCTCAGCACATACTTGTTGACGAGAGGACAGCATAAAAGGGAAGGTACAGTCAGACATCTGACTCCTGTGTTCTAGGATAACTCTTCAGAAATGGAGATCGGCACCTCCAAAGAGATAAAGTGAAATAAAAAATCCTGCTTTCCCTAAAGTTTTTAAAAATTCAATAATTTATTTGTGTGGCAATCAAATCCAGAGGAGAAATTAAAAATTATTTAAACCACGAACCAAAAGTGTTTAAATGGAGTTCGTTTTTCAAGGTCTTCCAGATGAATTATACTTTATTACAGTTTTTCCCTCTGTCTCTGTATTTTTTCCCCAGTAGAAAGAAATTATTTTATTTTGGCACCATATTGAGTATGTGGTGAAAAGAATGTCTCCCCTTGCCAAAGAGTCTTCCCCCCGAGGGACTCGCCATTACTAGTTTCTTGTGTAGCCTTCTGGAGATATTCTTTGAATATACAATTTTTTTTTTCACAAATGATAATATACACGTATTCCTGTCCCCTGCTTTTTTTCATACTGTGATACGTTGAATATGGCTCCATATCAATATAGACACATCTGTACCATTCTTTTAAATGACTGCATGAAATTCAATTAATTATATTAATATACCACAATATTTTAGCCAGTATACTATCATTAGACATTTGACCTTATATTTGCTCTTATAAACTTTACTGAAAAGAATATACCTAAACATACAGACCACAAGTATTTAAAAGGGAAAATAATATTAGATACATACTGAAAAAGAGGCTCTTTGAAACCTTTTGGGGGGTACTTATTTCCAAATTTATACAAAAAACATAAAATCTCTAGTAATTTAGGAGAATAATGAAATATAGTAGAAATTAGAGGTTTGTAATATACAAAAGAAAACTGGATTTTTCAAAATGAATTACTCTCTTTATGAGTAGGATGGTTCAAGCATTACGTGAAGTGTTCGGATAGCAGAATGAGATGGTTGAAGGGAAATAACTTTAGCTAGCCCTGGCTGGGTAGCTCAGTTGGTTAGAACATCGTCTCAACACACCAAGGTTGCAGGTTTCATCTCTGATCAGGGCACATACAAGAGTCAACCAAAGAATGCATCAATAAGTGGAACAACAAATAAATGTTTCTCTTTCTCTCTCTCTCTCTCTCTTTCTGTCAAATTAAGAAAACAAAACAAAACAAAAAAACTTACCTGGCAGCGGCGATACCATGATCATGAAGTTGGTTTTCCCAGGGCGAGGCTTATCCATTGCACCCCGGATGTGCTGATCCCTGCTTTTTCCCCAAATGTAGAAAACTCAATGACATCATTTGTGGTAGTGGGTGACTGTGTTCACACTCTCCTCTGGGGGAGGGAATTTTTTTTTAAAGAAATCACTTTAGCTACATGTACAGAAAATTTTCCAGTGTAATAGCCTGAAAGCTGGAAAAGGTATAAAATGCAGGACTACAGTTTGAAAAGACTAAAGCTGGGAAAAGGGTCTTAGTCATGAAAACACAGCAAAGTGAACAGGTTCAAAAAGTGTTGCAGAGAAACATGGCAAAGTAAGAGGTAGGGGACAAGGGCAAGGGAGTTAAAATGGAACTAAGGGCAAGTCTCGAATTAAAAAGAAAATAATAACAGTATCCAAAGGACGGTTATGCAATGATGGGCCCAAATAGGGTCAGCATGAGACTCATGGAAGCCTTTTTGCAAATATGGTTTATGCATCTCAACCCATGACCAATCCTGATGCTTCCAACTTGGGGGACTATCAGCCAGGGGAAGCTGGGGAAAACAGAGATAAATAGATTAATATGAAATCAAGTTTTGCTTGTGTTTCTGGACCACTAAAGCTCAGGCATGTAATCTAGTCCTGCAGTTGTAGGATTCAGTGATGCAAGCAGGAAGAGTTAGCCAGACTTGACCGGGGGCAGCGTGCCACAGTGCCATTCACGCCACGCAGAGCAGTGGTGATGAGTGCAATGTCTGTGATGTTTGTCCTGTTAACCAGACTGCTCCAGCTGCCAGTCCCTGATTCTTGCCTGTTTTCCAAGCCTGGTTCTCCATTTCCCAGCCAATTCTGTGAGTCATCCAATACCCTTATAATAAATTTATTTTCCACTTATGTTTCACTGCTGTTCTTTGTGTTCAACATGCCTGACTGATAAAGTGAACACGAAGTAAGCAAGCTGGAGCGGGAGCCAGCCCGACAGAAATAAGGGCAGGGGTAGAGATCCCCAGAACTGGGTCCTAAATGGGATCATCTCTAACTGGGCTATAAACTTGGTCTCCTCATGAAAGGCCAGAGAAGGAGAAAGCAGGGCAAAGGTTCATAGGACTGCACTGGTCTCGGGATTAGACAACTCTCCTTCCTTCTGATGAGGTTATTAGGGCCGTCGGAGGATAGGGGTTTGAATGCTCTTCTTCCAGCAAAGGGGAGCTGGTTGGGTGCAGGACAGGGAAAGAGAGTTAAGAGGAAATTGATTAAAGTATCCAGGGCAAAGCTGCAGACTTCAAATCCAAACATTTAAAGGGAGCTTGGTTGCAGGTGGCAAAGGGTCTATAAGTTGGAAATGCTAAGACACCGGGCACAGGCTGATTGCAATACTAGCACAGAGGGAGTGGAGCCCTTGCACTTCATCCACTAGCAAAAGGAACTCATTTGCTTCGCTCATTACCATATGCTCAGTGGTGCCTGGTACACTATAGGTCCTCAATAAGCATTTGTTGAATGAATGTAATAAGTGTTAATGATTGGACATGTACCGTAAGTTAGCATTAGTCACATCAGGGTACCTCAAGTAGACAGGATGGAATGACATTTGGGGTTTCAATCCAGACCTGACTCTGAAGTTCAAATTCTTAATCATTGGGCTACATTGTCTACTTCCTGGACCCCAGTAGCTGTAATTGCTCAGGATTTGGCTGCCTGCCAACCCATGTGAAGATGCCTATCATGGCTGTTGGTGCTCACCAAGCTGTCACCTGCCCTGATTGCCATCTTCTCCCTCTCTGTGCACCACTGTGGCAGATATACTCAACCTTTCAAGGTGCCAAAGCTGCTTGAATTCTGGGCAAATGTGTTTAGGTGTGTCATGCTTTATGAATGAGTGTTAAAGATATGATGCTTGTACAGCAATGTCACACAGAGATTTAAGGGAAATTACTTTTTCAGAGTTGACTCATGGCTCACATTTCTTCCTCTCCCCAGCGTATACACCTGCACTTGGGTGCCCGTACTACTCAACTATGAGTTTATGGAGGGAGCTGAACTGAGACACAGGTCTGAGCAAAAAACATGACTCAGTATCATCCCCGGCCCTCCAATGACTAGAGATTTGTCATAGTCTTATATGCTAGGTTCTTCTCTGGAGGTTCATTTCTTAGGGGATTTTTTGGGATCTTCTATATGTAGACTTCTAGTGGCCGTTCCTCTGTCTCTCAGGGGTCACCATCTTGTGTTTCCCCGCAGTAGACACAAATGTGATTCTCCCTGGGATCCTCTTTGGACAAAGTTAGCAGTCTCAAGCATATATAATAAATTCTCTTTAGCTTCCATGCAATACAATTAACAAGATGAAAATATTTGTTGTTGTTTTTTTGAGAGAGAAAGAGAGAACAACAAATTGCATTCATTAGTTGCTTCTTGTATGTGCCCTGACCAGGAATCAAACCCACAACCTTGGCGTATTGGTACAATGGTCTAACAAACTAAGCTACTCAGCCAGGGCACGATGAATAAAAACTTAAATCAAGTTTTAATCTTATATGAAAATACGTAAAAAGCAAAATGATATTGCTTGAGGTTGAGGTCAGGGAGAGAGGATTGACTGCAAAGGGGTATGCAAAAACCTGCTAGGGCAAGGGCGCTGTTCTATACCTGGATTGTGATGGGGGTGCTAGGTTAGAGTAGCAGAAGCAGACCTGGAGGTAAGAAGTTGGGTGAGTCAGTTTGGCTCAGCAGTTAGAGGGTTGGCCCGCGGTTCAGAGACCCGGGTTCGGTTCCCGTTAAGGGCACATACCTTGGTTGCAGTTTGTCCCCGGCCCTGGTTGGGGTCGTGTGGGTGGCAGCCAGTCGATGTGTCTCTCTTACATTGATGTTTCTCTCTCTCTCTCTCTTCCTCCCTCTCTCCCTCCTGCTCTATCTGAAGATAAATGCAAAAATGTTCTTGGGTGAGGATAAAAAATAAAAATAAAAAGTTGGGTGAAAGTAGTTATGTGAGAGTTGATTCCAAGAAGTACAAAAAGTGAGAAGGTATGGAAAGTGAGACAGAGAAGAGAAAAAAAAAAGGGCGCATGAATAATCAGTTAACTGCGGCAGTCAACTGTGCTTAATCCTGTATTGTCTTGACTTGAGGCGTATCCCATAATCTCTTACTGTTTCTTAGACATTTTACTTTAAACATTACTTTTAGGAATAACTTAAAAGTTAGGATACTGCAGGCTTTCTCTTTAGAATTTCTGTTTCCTTCTACCAAGTACCTGACTATGCTGGCAGGCAAGGGCAAAACTGGGTTACCTAGATGACCCACCGGAAAGTACCTCCTCTCACTTTTAAAGTCAGGCTACACCCTCCATTAAGAGGCTAAATAGTAACTGTGACAGTAGTGAATGAACATCCTCGCTGTGTTTTAAAGAAAATGTTTTTTAAATTCTAATATTCAGTGTAATGTTTGCTGTAGGTGTTTAGTAGATTAAGGAACTTCCCTTTTATTCCTAGTTTGTAAAATATATATTTTAATCAATGAACACTGACTTTTTATTGAAAGCTTTTTCTGCATCGATTAGAATCATCATCTGTATTTCCTTTCCTTTTTTTCTTTCTGGAGCATCAAGTTTATTACAAACTTTGGAAGAACCAAATACTTTAATAATCCCCAAACACGAAAAAAAAAAGAACAGGTGACCTCTCCTCTTGACCCCCAGGGGCTCCAGGCTGTTCTGTCCTCCAAGCTCAGCAGGTATTTTGGATGAAACACCTTTGAAATCCATGGAGATGCAGGATACCCTCCTGATGTGAATCTTGTGCAGAGAGCATCGCAATTCGTACCTCCATCATCTGCTGGACAAAGTCTCCTCACCTTGCACACACAGCGTGCATTTCTGGCACACTCTCACCAGCAGGTGTTTGTATCCTGCCTCTGGCTCCTCTCCTGCACCACGTGGCCAGCCTTGCTGCAGCTCAGCACCTTCAAGTTTGACATTTAAAATGCAGGGAGTGTGGCTTGACCTCCCCAGAGACTTTGGTTGTGGCTCTGCCTTGGCTGTCCACAATTTTAAAAATTTTATGAGCTTGACTCTTGTCCTTTTGAGATGTTGCTTTTTGGTAGACGGCCTATAGAATATGAGTCTTAATAGGAAAATAAAGACCCTCCTAGCCACCCCCTGCTGGTCCTGGCTGTGGCCAGAGGGAGAGGCTGGGGCCCCACCATCAGGTTGCCCAGAGTGGAGGGAATCTTCCATGTTGGTTCCCTCTGGGGCTCCACAGCTGCTGCGGCTGTGGATGGAGTGGGGCCCCCAGGGCCACACTGCAGGGCTAGGCTGGGGTGGTCATCCTTGACTCCAAGCTGGGTGGGGAGTGGCAGGCTTTTTGGTCTTCTTCCCTGATGGCTAAACCTCCCAGGTAGGGGAAGAACTGAGGCTGTAAGGTCAGGGGAAGGGCAGGGCCTTACCCTGATGGTACAGCCCTTCATCTTGGTCTTCCTGGTACTCAGGGTCAAAGTGCCCATCACTCTGTCGTACTTTCTTCCTGTTACTGACTCCTGGATCTCGTCCTGCTCAGGTTCTTCATTATCTGTTATCTGGGGGTCCATGTTGCCACAGGGCAGCTCTCCGTAAGGCCCGAGTTCCCCCTCCTGGACCATGTTGAGCCATGGGTCTCATTATAATATCTGCCTGGGTTCTTCTTTTGCTGGGGTTGAGGGCATTTGTTCTTTCAAAAGCTTTTGCCATTCTATAGATATGACAAATGGGATGTGGATGTGCTGCTCAGCATCTGCTGCCTCGGTTTCCAAAAGTCTTCTCCCACAAATGGTAGGGTCCCCATCACCATCCACACATCAACCCCGGTACCATCATAGGTTTGGCGCAGGGAGAGCTCTGGGGCAGCAGCAAACGTGCTCAGCTTATGGCCTATAAACTCACTACTGAGGCCAAAGTCTGCAAGTTTTACCTTTTAGGCTAATAAAGGAGATGTTATAGCCCAGCTGGTGTAGCTCAGTTGGTTGAGCACTGTCCCATGCACCAAGAGGTCGCTGGTTCGATTCCCGGTCAAGACACATGCTTGCGTTTCAGGCTCAATCCCCAGTAGTGGGTGTGCAGGAAATAGCTGGTTGATGTTTCTCTCTCATGGATGTTTCTATC